GGGTCCTCCGGAGGACCCGGCCTGTCGTTTTGGACACAGCCATTCTCGGCAGGTTTCTAAGGTTCTTCTTCTACATATTAAAAAGTTGTTAAACATCTGAGTGGTGCACTACTGCTACTAGTGGTGAGAAAGTGTATTACACCTTATTTAAAATCAATGTGGTCCCACGGCCCTCTGTGGCCCAAAGTTAAAAACTGTTGTTCTTCTGAGGCCCTGAAGGTGGCACTCACGGCCCACAGGTTAAGAATGTCTGGATTAGAGAAAGAGGGGATTTCCCCACAGAAACACATCACCAGTTAAACCAGTTAAACCAGTAAGACAAGATTGTGTTGTACATTAGTTTAGGATGAAATAGAAGTTAAAAGCTTTTCATTGTTTCCTGAGCTGAAAGTCACTCTTTAGCTTTTTTTTGTAAGACAAAAGTTAGTGAAAATAACTATCATGAATAAAAGATAAAATCTTAGGAGCAGTTTGAACCCTGACGCCTCCTCAGGAGGCAGCTGAGCAGCTGCTGCTCGTGTCTCAGCAGGCTTTCAGTTCCACCAGCAGATGAACGGAGGAGCAGGAGGTGCTGGAGGAGCTTTTTATACAGGAAGCTTCACAGGGTTTTCCTCCGGAGGAGAAGCTCAGATGTCAGGCTCCGCCCCTCAGACAGATGTTGGCCAGCAGAGGACAGATGGACAGACGAGGAGCTCTGTGCTGCAGCAGCAGCTGCTTCACATCGGTAAGATTCTGCAGGTGCAGAGTAAATCTTTGTTTCCTGAAGTTGTCAGGTTTATTGTTGTTGTTGTTGTTGTTTGTCAGCTGCGTCACTCAGCAGTCGAGTGTCTCAGAGCGCCCAGCAGACCGCCGCTGCACTGCTGCAGTACTGCAGCACTGGAGACGCCCGGGTCCTCCTCGCCCTGCAGAGACACCTGTGTGGCATCCAGGATGCCAACGGAGACACGTGAGTCCAGTTCTCCTCCTGATCCAGATCCAGTTACCTTCAGGTTCTGCTGTAACAGGGATGTGATGAAACCAAAACAGTCTGGTGATGAATGTTTGTTTCCTATCAGTCCATTACACCTGGCCATCATCCACCTGCAGACCACCGTCATGCAGCAGCTGGTCCAGACTCTGCTGAGCAGCCAGCAGCACCGAGTCCTGAACGTGGCCAACCACCTGCAGCAGGTAGTCTGCAATATTCACTGATACACAGGCAGTTTTTAACCTTTTTCACTACGTCACTTCTTGTGAAATATTTTCCAGTGAGGTATCTCCTAACCAGTGCAAAGTATGTCATTTGTAAAACGATTTAAAACAGCACTGCGTCAATAAAACTGTGCACTTCCCAGTCATTCGAAGAGCATTTTACTAAATTCAGAGGATTAATAAAACAACCAAAAATCAGGAGCAGGTTGAGCCTGAAGCATCACTTCAGTTTAAAACCAGATTAATAAAACACAGGGAGGGTCTGCAGGCAGCGGTGACCAGCCTGTTGGTGAGGGGAAAAAAGAAAAAAGTACTGTGAGACCGGCTTACTTTGACTTATTGGTTTAAAGTTGTTGAAAATGCATTACCCCTTTTTAAATATAAAACTGTACCTAAGAAACACTCTAAACATCTTTGAGTCAGTTAAATTTTGTGCAGAATGAGGTTAAATCAAGAATTCAAGGATTTCTTTTTGTTTTTCATACCAAATGAATAAGTACTGTACTATATGAGGAAGGAAAGATAAACCGTGTTTCCAGGCTTTTTGATGCACATTCAGAAGTGTCACATTAAAAATGTGAAAAAAAGTCAGATGGAAACAGCAAAATTCGAAAAAAAATCCTGAATTCACTAAAAAGTTTTTACACTCGCTTGAGGTGGTTTTTGGATGATTCGCAAAGTAGTTAATGTGCAAAACAGGAGATGGAAACACGTTTGCTGAATGAATTCTGACGTAGTGTATATTTACCTCACGTGACATTCAGCTGTTTCCGCTTTCCTGCCTCGTCCCGGATGTTAGCCTAGTGTAGTTGCACGTGCCTTTCTGCTGCGTAGTTTAACATTGCGTTTATTTCCCTACATCTCCTGGCAGCGTTAAACATAGCCTGTACTAGCTGAATAGATAGAATAATTACAACTTGCCCAATAGCAAGGTATTCACGAAAAAATCACTCCACTGTCCCGAGATGATTAGCCTCTGCTAGTTAGCAAGTTTCACTTCCTGTTTACTACTGCAAAGCTTGTCGCTGACATCTGATGTAATCACGCGTTGTGTAGCCTCGTCTGACGTAATCACACGCTGCGTAGC